CCTATTCAACATAGTGTTGGAAGTACTAGTCAGAGCAATCAAAGAAGAGAAGGAAATAAAGGGCATCCAGATTGGAAAAGATGAAGTCAAACTGTCCTTGTTTGCTGATGACATGATCCTATATATCGAACAGCCTAAACCCTCTACAAAAAAACTGTTAGCATTGATAAATGATTTCAGCACAGTTGCAGGAAAAAAAATCAACACACAAAAATCAGTAGCATTTCTATGCTCCAACAATGAATAAGCAGAAAAAAGAAATCAAAAAAGGTAGCCATTTACGATAGCCACCAAAAAAATAAAATACTTAGGAATAGAGTTAACCAAGGATGTGAAAAATCTCTCCAATGAGAATGACAAACCACTGTTGAGAGAAATTAAAGAAGACACAAGAAGATGGAAAGATATCCCATGCTCTTGATTGGAAGAATCAACATTGTGATAATGTCCATACCCACCCAAAGTGATCTACAAATTCAATGCAACCCCCATCAAAATTCCAATGACATTTTTCTCTGAATTGGAAAAAACTATCCTAACATTTATATGGAATAACAAAAGACCACAAATAGCTAAAGCAATTCTGAGCATAAAAAATAAAGGTGGAGGCATAATACCACCTGACTTTAAACTATACTACAAAGCAATAATAACCAAAACAACATGGTACTGGCATAAAAGCAGACACACAGATCAATGGAATAGAGAATCCAGAAATCAACTCACACACCTACAGCCATCTGATCTTTGAGAAAGGCACCAAGTTTACACACTGGGGAAGAGACTGCCTCTACAGCAAAGGGGGCTGGGATAACTGGATGTCCATATGCAGGAGAATGAAACTAGACCTATACCTCTCACCATATACCAAAATCAACTCAAAATGGATTAAATAATTAAATATACACCCTGAAACAATAAAACTTCTTAAAGAAAACATACAGGAAACACTCCAGTAGGTTTGGGAAGTAGAACAGAAGTAGGATTGGGTACAGACTTCATGAATATGACTCCAAAAGCACAGGCAACCGAAGGAAAAATAAACGAAAGGGATTATATCAAACCAAAAAGCTTCTGCACAGCAAAAGAAATAATTAACAGAGTTAAAAGACAACCAACAGAGTGGGAGAAAATATTTGCAAAATATACATTTGACAAAGGACTAATATCCAGAATATACAAGGATCTCAAACAACTTTACAGCAAAAAGCAAGTAACCCAATTAAAAAATTGGCAAAGCAGCTAAATAGGCATTCCTCAATATACAAATGGCCAACAGACACATGAAAAATTGCTCAACATCACTCAGTATTTGAAAAATGCAAATCAAAACCACACTGAGATACCATCTCACTCCAGTTAGAATGGCTAATATCCAAAAGATAAATGCTGACAAGGTTGTGGAGAAAAAGGAAGTCTCCTTCATTGTTGGTGGAACTGCAAAATGGTGCAGCCTTTATGGACAATAGTTTGGAGGTTCATCAAACAATTACAGGTAGATATATCATATGACCCAGCTATTCCACTGCTGGGAATATACCCAGAGGAATGGAAATCTTTATGTCAAAGGGGTACATTTGCTTCAATGTTTATTGCAGCACTATTTACAATAGCCAAGAGTTGGAACCAGCCCAAATATCCATCATCATCAGATGAGTGGATACAGAAAATGTGGTATATCTGCACAAGGGAATTCTACTCTGCTATAAAAAGAATGAAATACTACCATTTGCAGCAACATGGATGGACTTAGAGAGAATTATATTAAGTGAAATAAGTCAGGCACAAAAATAGAAATACCACATGTTCTCACTTATTTGTGGGAGCTAAAAATAAATAAATACACAAACAAATGGGGGTACAGAGAAGACACAACAATCACAATTCCTTGAACTTGTTAAGTAAACAGATGTGATGTTGATAGGTGGGAGGGGGAAAGAGGAATTGGTAAAGGAATACAAAAATCAATTACATTTTATACTGATAAAATAAAATAAAATAAAAATAACAATCCTTCTCAAAGTAGTCCAGTAAACTGAAGAAAAGAGAACACTTCCAAATTCATTCTATCAGGTCAGAATTATCCTACTACCAAACACAGACAAAGATACTAGAAGAAAACTACAGACTAATATCCTTGATAAAAACTGATGTAAAAATCCTAAACAAGATTAGCAAACAGAAATCAACAAAATATTAAAAGATTATACATTATGATCAAGTGGAAGTTATTCCTGTAATGCCATGATAGTTCAACATATAAAAATCAATCAATTAAGAGAATGAAGAATAAAAACTACACGATCATGGCAATGGATTCAGAAAAAGCATTTGACAAAATTCAACATCCTTTCATGATTAGAAAAAAAAACACTCAACAAACTAGGGTCATGTGTGTGATCCTCTATATAAGGAGAGCAAGTAAGAAGGTTAGCTCTCTTGCTCAGGCCATTCTTGCCATCTAATACCCTGCATTGCTGTAGAAAGTCACTACAAAGAAGAAGGCCCTCACCAGATGTGTTCCCTGGACGTTAAACTTCCCAGCCTCCAAAACTATAAGAAATAAATTTAATTTTCTTTATAATTTATCCAGCTTCAGGAATGCTGTTATAAGCCACAGGAAATGGACTAATGTAAAAGCTTAGAAATAAACCCTCATGTATATGGTCAAATAATCTTAGACAAGGCTGACAAGGCTACATTGGGCAAAAAATAGTCTCTTCAAAAATAGTGTTGGGTAGGGCCGGCCCAGTGGCGCACTGGATGGTGCGCCGCTTGGGAAGCGCGGCGGCGCTCCCGTCCGAGGGTTCGGATCCCACATACAGACCGGCTCCCGCTCACTGGCTGAGCGAGGCACGGGAGCAACACCGAGGCTTGCGATCCCGTTGCCGGTCCCCGGTCCGGTACCGGGGCAACACTGAGGATTGTGATCCGTTGCCGGTCCCCCGTCCAGTACGGGGGCAACACTGAGGA